TGCTCTCACATCAATGTTTCTCTCTCTCCCTCTCCCTTCCTCTCTCTAAAAATCAAATGTAAAAAAAAGAAGAAATATTAAGTAATTAAAACTTCACCACATCTCAAGCAGGTGGGTACTATTATTGTCCCCATTTTACGAATCTAGAAACTGAGGCTCAGAGAAGTTAAGCTCCTTGCCTAAGCACAGAGCCAGGAATGGTGGAGCAGGAATGTGAGGCTGGACTGTTTAGCGCCAAAGCCCAAGCTTTTATTTAGCCGCTAAGAATGCTCTTTGCTCAGCAGCTGGGACGCTCCCCTGATCTTGCTGCTTAGGCAGAGTAGATAGCCGCCCCCGACCCTTTTGAAAGTGTTTTACATATGAGTATACTATTTAAAAATTTTTATTTGTTTTATTGATTTGAGAGAGAGAGAGAGAGAGAGAGAGAGACATCAATGTGAGAGAGACACATGGATCAGTGGCCTCTTGCACATGCCCCCGCCGGAAACTGAACCCTAGACCTTCTGGTACACAGAATGATGCTCCAACCAAGTGAGCAACAGCGCCAGGCAGGGCAGACAGTCTCACGACAGGGCCCAGTGTTCCCTGTCCACAGCACACACGTGGCTTCTCAGCTCCATGAAGGCATGAGCACACGGGGGAGAGGTGGGCGGACAGAGCCCATCAACGTGAGGCATCGTGAGGTAGGGAACGAACAGGGAATCACACTGGCCTGGTTTGATCCAGCCCCACCACTTACTAGCTGTGTGGCTCTGGGAAAATCACCTCATCAGTCTGAGCCTTAGTTTCCTCATCAGCAGGATGGAGAGACCATGACTCACCTCCCAGGGAGGGTGCAGTGAGGTGAAGCGTGCTTGGCATTGGGCTCAGAGCCTGCACACACGGGGGCTCAGTAAGAAGTGGTGGCAGGAAGCTCAGGACCCAGGGTGCTTCCTGAGACACGAGGCCGGGAAGTGCCCCAGAGGGCCCAGCTGACGTGGTTGCTCTGGTCTTAAGGTCACAGCAGCTTCTCTCATTTTTCCTAGGCAGCTTCCTGCAGAGGGGCATCTCCATGGCAACACACAAGCAGCACCTGTTGGAGGAGTCAGGTGTTGGAGAAAAATGACCTCCTTCCCTCATTCTGCAGCCTCTACTGAGGGTGGAGGGGAAGTGGTTGGCCCAGGTTGGAAACTTGATCCTGGTGGGCCGCCCTGCTGAGGGGGAGGGGGCCGACCAACCGCTGGAGGTCATTTTCTCAGCCTACGTGGTGATAATGCCTCCCTAAGCAGCAGCCTCCAGACCTGGGGGTCTGATGAGCCTCGAAGGTTGCTTTCTCAAGGGCTTTTCCCTGAGAGGAGGCACTGAGCCCCTGGGTTAGAGAGCAAGGCTGATGGGGGGAGGCTGAGTTTGCTCTGCTGTCTGCACCTTGTCCTCTTCTGCCTGCCTGGCCCAGGCCTTCCCTGACCCAGAGATGGAGTGAGGTGTAGGAAGTGAGGAGGGGCTGGAACCAGCTGATGGTAGGCTAAGGAGTTTCTCCTGCCGTCTGCACAGTGGGCCCCGGTGCAGAAGGGCCCGAGGAGAGGCATATGAGCGAGAGCCCTCCAGCCCACCCCGCCCACCCGGTGGGAGTCTGTCTCATCCTCAGTTTCCCGAGTTCCACATTCGGTCCTGCCTTGTTCAGACAAGTCTAAGCGTTTGTCTCTGCCTCAGTTTTGCCGTCTGTAAAATGAATAATTATTGTAGTCAAGTGCTTTATAAACCATGGCTGCCATGGAAAGGAATGAATGATTGTAAAACTCACCAGCTTTTTCATGACTTTTAACTGAGTAATTCCGTAGAGGGACGTATTTCTCCCAAATGCCCACCAAATTTTGTGCAGTAGTATTTATGATTGAACAACATCAAAATAGCCCCGGTGTTCTAGTAACAGGGAATCGTGGGACACCCCAGGAACTTGATCTGTCCACATGAGGGGACACTTCATGGCCAGTCAAAACCGTAAGAGGGGGACAGACAGGCTGTGACATTGTAGGCTTTGATATCATTCATGTCTCATGCATCCTCATGGCTTCAGAACCTTGCAGAATACTTTGCAAATAGTAAGCCTTCAGTAAGTATTTGTTGAATTATCTCAACGATATAAAACTTGTATCCAAAGAAAACAGGCATGGGAGAAAATATTCCACAATGTTAATGGGGGTTACTTTTGGGTGATGAGTTTATGTGTGATTATAATTTTTTCCTTTATTCTTCAAGAAATTGAAAAAACACACAATAATGTGCATATATTACTCTCATTTTTATTATTTATGTATTTATTTATTTTTAAATATATCTTTATTGATTTCAGAGAGGAAGGGAGAGGGGGAGAGAGAGAAACATCAATGATGAGAGAGAATCATTGATTGGCTGCTTCCTGCACGCCCCCTACCGGGGATTGAGCCCATAACCCAGGCATGTGCCCTTGACCGGAATCGAACCTGGGACCCTTCAGTCCCCAGGCCGATGCTCTATCCACTGAGCCAAACCAGCTAGGGCATTACTCTCATTTTTAAATGCAATAGCTTGAATAGTAATGTCAGCTTATACAAACATACATGTTTTTTTAAAAGTTCAAACAATGCAGGAAAATATAAAAAAGAAAGTCACCATAAGTCCCACTGCGCAGCAGTTACTGACATTGATATGGGGGACACAGCCCCCTGTGAGCTTCGTCTGCGTGTGTTGATGTGCGTGTGAGTTTTTACATAAGGAGGCTCATAGGACACAAGCATCTTATAACCCTTTTCCACGTATTGTGTGCTGGACAGCTTTCCCCGTCAATACGAACTGATCTGCACCATTTGAAATGGCTGCATAGAGTTTGGCTTCATGGCTGTGCTGAAAGCCAGCTAAGCATTGCTCTGTTGATGTCCATTTAAGCTCAACGTTTTGCTCTTAGAATCAATGCTGACATATCTTTGTAATGAAAAAATTCAAACAACCAAAAATTCCTTGTGGTTTTGGGGATGAGTTTCAGTAAGATGGCCCAGGCGTGTTGCAGAAGGAGAGATTGGGGTGCAGCACAAGTGAGGCTCAGGGCTGGCTGTTTCAGGGAAGAATATCTAGTTCAATAAAGAAAGACCTTTACATTGAAAAGATCCCGTCTCACAGGGAGAGGCAAGCTCTCGGCATTTAGGGCGGGAAGTAGCTCCGGCTGGGGCTCCCACCAACGGCCTCGTTACCTTGGAGAGGCCTCCAGCCCCTCTGAGAGACCCTGTTAGAAAGGAGCCGGGGAGCAGGGAATGAGTTTTTCCAGCTGCTCCCCAAGATCAAGAGCCAGGCACAGGGGAAGGGCAGAGAGAGTAATGAGCTGAATGAATTATTGGTTTGTCAGCTCAGGAGGCAGCCTGGCCTGGTAGAAGCCTGGGCTCTGGGATCAGATGGCCCAGCTCAGGCCCCTGCTGTCATTTACCAGCTGGTGACTTGGGGAAGGCACCTCGTTTCTTTGAGCCACTCTTCCCTCCTCTGCAAGATGGACACGATAACTCTTTCCAGCCTGGCGTGAGGAGTGTGTGGAAACTAATCACACGTTGTTCTTAGTGGGTACGATTCTAGAACATCTAGTCCAAACACACTTCCGAACACTTTCAGGAAAGAGAACTTGCTGTTCTTCACGGCAGCTCGGGCTCGGGTTGGCCACAGTTGGTAAGTGACGAGACTGCGCTTCAGGGGAACATGGGGTGGTGACAGGTTGTTGCCAAGCACGTGGTGACTGTGACAGAGGTGAGAAAGGAGGGAACGCGGTGGCTGTGAACTTGGAGCTCTACAGACTGGTTAGATGCGGAGGTGACAGCTAGGTTTGGTGCGAGGCCCGAGGGAGATTCTGCTGGTGTGTGGCTCAGCGGAAGAACTTTCTGGGGAGCGGAGCGCCTGACTCCTGCAGGGCCTGTCGTTCTGAGGTGTGCTGTGGGGCTTCCCTTGGAGGCTGGCTGGGGAGGTGGGACCAGACAGCCTCTAAGGTGGGCTCTAGGTCCAAGGTGCCCAGGATGTGACTGGGGAGGGCTAAGGAGGAACACAGGGGCCAGAGGCCAGGGTGGTGTGAGGGAAGGAGCCACCACTTTTGTAGGCCCGGCCCTGGGATCAGAGAGTGGGATCCCTCCCTTCTTCAGCCCTGCCCTCCAGTCCTCCCGCTGCCTCCCACCCTCCTCTTGCTACAGGGCTGACCTCAGGGCAGGCTCCTGCTCAGAGACCTCTCTGGCTCCCTGTCTCTCCTCGGCTTTCTCCGACCCTCTGTGGTCTGGACCCACGTTCCCCCAACTCTGCTTCCCTTGGCTCTGACTCTCAGCCTGTCCCCCCCCACCCCCACCCCATGGATCTGCTGGGTGTTCTCCCTCTTTGAATGTCCGCTCTGATCCTCCTACCCTGCAGATCTGCCTTGTCCTGTCCGTCTCAGCTTGAGTCCCACTTCCTCAGTTTCCATTGAATGGCATGGCCCACTCTACTCTCTCCTGTTCAGAATACGGACAGCTCACAGGAACCAGTGCCACCAGATGACAAAAACCGTGTTCCCAAGGGGGTCCTTTTAAACCACAGGCCGTACTTTTTCCCTACTTATGCCTCATGTAAACCCTATGAGAGACAGTTATTATCCCCATTTCATAGATGAGGAAGCTGGCGTTCAGCAAGGATTCCACCTAAATAGCTTCTAATTGGCTACTTTTCCAATTCTTTCGTGTGTTAATGTCTCATCTCTTCAACTAGACTGAGTTCATTCAGGGGCAAAGCTCCGTGTTGGGTTTAGCAGAACTCCCAGGAGGGAGCCTTGTGCGTTCCTGCTGGTTGGACATCTGCTGCCAACAGCCCCCAGCTTGTTGGGCCTCCACATAGACTCGAGGGCCGCAGACTTGGCTGGGGAGCACCCACCCTACGGGTCAGATGTCAGGCTTGAGCCAGGGAGCGAAGGAGCCTGGAACTGAGCCCCCGGCCTGCGGACCCACCCTGCACATCTCACCATTTCCTTCTCTCCTCTCCTCCACCAGGGAACTCAATGGCAACAACATCACCCGGATCCATAAGAACGACTTTGCAGGGCTCAAGCAGCTGCGGGTGCTGTGAGTATGGGATCTGCTCCTGCTTGTAACCTCCCCCTGCCCCCTCCCTCGGCAATGGCCTGTGTGTCCTAGGCAGAGCCCTGGCTGTGGGTAGTAGGGTTGTAGGGTTGTAGGGTTGTAGGGTTGTAGGGTTGTAGGGTAGTAGGGTTGTAGGGTTGTAGGGTTGTAGGGTTGTAGGGTTGTAGGGTTGTAGGGTTGTAGGGTTGTAGGGTAGTAGGGTTGTAGGGTTGTAGGGTTGTAGGGTTGTAGGGTAGTAGGGTTGTAGGGTTGTAGGGTTGTAGGCAGGCTGGGCTCCTCCACGTGGAGTCCGTCTTGGGACACCCTGAGGGTGGTGGGGTGGAAGTGATGGTGAGTCCTGACCCGGAGCAGCCACTGCCTCCAGCATGGCTGAAAAATTGGGTGATGGCATAGGCACCGGTGGTGGCTGCCTGGCGGGACCTGGGCTGGGCAGATGGGGCTGTCTTGTCCACCGGTTGTCTCCTGGGGTGAGGGAAGACCGAGGGACCGTGCGGAATCTTTAGGTCTCTGTCTTTGTTCAGGCGGCTCTAACAAAATACTACAGATGGGGTGGCATAAACAACATACATTTATTTTCTCACAGGCCTGGAGGCAAGGAATCTAAGATCAAGGTGCCATCAGGGCTGGTTTGTGGTGGGGCCTCTCTTCCCGGCCAGCCGCTTGCTGTGTCCTCAGGTGGCCTGTCCTCTGTGTGTGCACAGAGAGAGCTCTGGTGTCTCTTCCTATAAGGACACCAGTCCTAGCAGATGAGGGCCCCATCCTTATAACCTCATTTAACCTCAGTGACCTCCCTAAGGGCCCTGTCTCCAATACAGTTACATTGGGGTTAGGGCTTCAATGCATTAATATCTGGGAAGGGGCGGGGGCGTGGAGAGCAGGGACAGTTCAGTCTGTAACAGTCTCCATAGTTCCCTTGAACCTGTGGCCCAGAAAACTCCCCAGCAAGGGGCTGCCCCTGGCTTGAGAGGGCAGGTGATTGGGAGCCCTTGAGGGTAGAGTCGATTTTCCTGGGTTGCTTGACAGCGGCAGGTATTGGAGGCAGTGGGCACGACGCTATTGGGAAAGGAGCCATCAGCAGCACCTCCTCTGTCATGCTGGGCAGGGGTGAGGGGCCAGGAGGGTGTTGATCCCTTCATCTCTCCTTCTCTGCTGATCTCGATGCAGAGGCAGCCTGCCAGGCATGCATCCTGATGCATTGAACATCAGACAGTCATAGAACCCCTCGTCCCTTATTCCCAGGGAAGTGCAAGGGCCCTGGGGCCTCAGTTCTGTCAGAACTACTTGCTTTGCATTCATTTCTGAGGGTCTTTGGAGGAACTGGGGATCTTGTGGCTGATCCTCTCTGGGGTCATAGCTAACGCCCACTGATCTCTGACCCCATCCCAGGATCCAGAAATCTCTTTTGAGCCTGAGGAAGCTCCCCTTCCTCCTGGTTTGTGCCCCTCTTCCCCACCCAGGTCTACACTGGGAGCTCCTCAGTAGCATAGGCCTCTGGAAACAAGTGGAGAAAAAGAAGTGGGTGGTGGCTGTTTCTGCCCTCTGCCCTGTCTCAAACCTCATCTGCGGTGCATGTGGGAGCACATAAACCACCCGCTGGAGAGTGGAGAAGGGAACGTGTAGGTAGAAAAACACGTTTGACAACCTCAAAAATTACCATGCAACAGGCGATCTGTTGGCAAAAACTGCTGTCCGCCAGCTGGACGCTCTGGGCTGCATGGCGCATTGGCAATGAGGAGGTGCAGAGCCCCATGGAGCCAGGTGGCTCAGCTGGCAGCAGATGGGCCAGGCAGAGTCGGGGTGCAGGCAGAGGGGGTGTCGTCTGCCAACTGCAGAATGTGCTGCATGTGTGGGCTTTGCCCAGTTGGCACCGGATCCCCTCCCCCTGCTACTGGCCCATTCTGTCCATTCTGCCCCTTGGAAACTCACCCTCTGGGCCAAAGGAGGGCACATGCACCTGCAGCCCAGAGCAGCCCCTGCTGCCTGCTGCCTGGGTCCGGCTTCCTGAGCATGCCTTGGAGCAATGACCTGGTGCCCTGGTGTCCTGTGGCCTTCTGCCATGCAGGGATCAGCATGGGGCTGGGGCTGGAAGCGCATCTTGCGGTTGAGGCTGGGTGTGCCGAGGAGTCCCTGCTGGGAATTGGCAACGTTGTGAGGAAATTTTGTGGGCTCAGGCCGGACTCAGGTCTGCACGCGTCTCAGGCACAGCTCCTGTCTCACTCCCTGGTGCCAGCTGTTTCCAGGAGTCCTTGTCCAACATGCTGTAGCTGTCTTTGTCTCTTCGCTTCCTCAGGCAGCTGATGGAGAACCAGATTGGAGTGGTGGAACGGGGGGCTTTGGACGACATGAAGGAGCTGGAGCGGCTGTAAGTGTCTGTGGGTGTGGGCTCAGGAGGGCGGTGGAGGCTGGCTCTGAAGGGACACGAGCAGACTGAGCCTGGTGGCCAAGGGGGTGTGTGCTCAGGGGCAGGACGGCACGCCCAGCCTGCCTCCCGCCTGCTGATAGGAGCCAGGGGCAGCTGCAGCGTGGACATGGTCACGGCATCATCATGAGGTCACAGTAGAGAGAGAGCTGGAGACTGTCCTCATCCCACATTCTAGATGCAGCTATTCCTCCCCCCGCTCACCGAAAATGCATTATGGCAAAAAATCCACACATTACAGAGGAAGTGAGATTTCTTCCTATAATCTCATACCCAGGTGTAAACACTGTTCACCGATGTGTGTGGCCTTAAGGAAGCGTTGGTGTGTGGAGGGGACCATCAGGGAAGCCCTGGGGGCACCTGAGGAGCCATGTTTTGGGTGCTCAGGGCCACAGTACAGACACTGGAAGGTGGAGACATTTCGGACTTGCATGGTTTGTTCCTTACAGGGCTTTCAAGTTTGCAAATGTGTCTTGATCAATTTTTGCATTTCAGATGGGCAATAATGAGGGGGAAAAAGGCACGTGGTATGGGTGAGGTGGGGGGGGATTGGCACTCACATTCAGGGTGGTCACCAACCTAATTTTTCTTTTAAATTTTATTTATTGATGAGAGAGAGAGAGAGAGAGAGAGAGAGAGAGAGAGAGAGACATTGATTTGTTGTTGCACACATTTATGCATTCAGTGGTTGACACTTGTATGTGCCCTGACCAGGGATTGAACCCACAACCTTGGTGCATCTGGGGGATGCTCTAAACAACTGGGTTACCTGCCAGGGCCCAATCTCATGTTTTGGCAAAGTGGTTTGTATGTAGGTGTCAAGAACTCTGTTATTCATGCCTTTTGAGCCAGAAATAATCAGAGACATGGCTAAAAACATGTATATATCAGGATGCTCATTGTACATTATTGAAATACAATAAAAAATTGGCAACAGCCATTCTGGTGGAAACATAGCGGTAAAATCACACTTTGGGAGAACAATCATGGCCATGGGAATGTACACACAATATAATGTTAAGTGGAAAAGGCAGGAAGTGACATTTGTGTAAATAAAAATTAACTTGTATGTGTACAGAATGCAGGAGGAGAAAAAGAATTGACAATATTAACTCTCACTGCATTGAGTGGTGGGTTAACAGGTAACTTTAATTTTATTCTTTGTGCTTTTATATTTTTATGGATTTTCCAATGAGTTTATAATAATAGCTACTATTGATTGCCTTACTCTCTGCCAGGCACCAAGATGAGCTCTTTGCCCCTCGCCCCCAATATCTCCTTTAATCCTTGAAGCAACACTGGGTCAGTGGGAGCTTTCAGATGAGAAATAGAGGTGCACAGAAGTTAAGCACTTGCCTCAGGAAGTGATTATTAAGTGATTACATGCAGGAGAGGGGATTAGAACTGGGACCATGTAGCCTCCAAAGCCTGAGCTCTTAATGGCTATGTCCTAATACCTCCCTTTTCTCTTTTATATAAAAGAAAATAAGGTATTAAATGAAAGGGAAAGGGTAGGGTTGTCTCAGTGCCTTCCTGCAGGTCAAGGTGACCTTTCCTTGGCCTTCCTCAGCCAGCCCTAACCTGGGTGACAAGGAGCCCCCAGCTGAACAGATGTGTAAAGGGCTCAGAACAAAACATACTCCACTCCTGACATGGTTATGAGGGGCTGATTCGGACCTAACCCATTCCAGCTTCAGCTCGGGTACTGCCAGGCCCTGGAGGAGGAGAGAAAGTGAGTGGGGTTCAGACATGGCCTGGTGGCCCTCATCACGCCTGCTTCTGCCATCCAAGGCTGGGCAGGGCCCTACTTTTTGAGTAATGACATCACTGTAGACTTTATCCCTTCTGTCCTTTTCCAAGTTCCTTTCTTTGTGGCTGCTCTGTCCCTGGGGGTCCAGTGCTTGCTGTGGACGGCCAGCACCCTCTCGGACTTGTCGGGGACCAGTGGTGAATCAATTAATCATAAAAGTTGGATAAAGTGGGGAGTCATAAACACCACACATACTGTAAACATCTCATTTTAAGTTATAACATATAAATGAGCACTTATTGACCTCCCCTCCTACCTACCCCCCTCCTTTTTTTTTTTTTTTTTTTTTTTGCCAAGACCTTTCTTTTTATTATGAGATGCTGATTGGAGTTCACCTAAACCACACACGTACACCTTACTTAGGATTTTTGGTTTTGGTTTCTCTAGGGTGAGTGAGATTTCTGAAGGGTCCTTGGGAGCAAGCTGGGGGGAGGATCCTGAATTTCTTGAATGATCCTCTTGCCCTGCAGTCTTTCCCGTAATTCATCAGCCCTTTAATTAGCAGCTTCCCTTTTAGTGACTCTTTCAAAGCATTCAGCCTAGTTTTCATAGAGATGACTCTCTCTTTTCGCACTGGTATTTGGTTTGTTTATGTAACAGTTCATTCAATTATACAATTATAATTATAAGTACCTCTGGCTAAACAGGTTTGGGAACAGACATAACTGGTCTTATGAGCAGTTACAGGCTTGAGTGCAGAAGCAGCCGCGTGCGGTTCTGCGGCCATGAGGATCGGGGTGCCGCGGGTGTCAGGGTCTGATGTTGGGAGGGGGTGCAGTGCTCAGGCACCCTCAGCTGGCTGAGTGGGGGTCGTCGATGTGCCTGTCGTGTGGAGGCAGCCAGGATGGGGAGCTGGGGAGAGGCAGACTTCAGAACCTCACCTCTGGGGAGTTTGGAGGTGATCGGGGGGTCACTCACCTCTGGACATCCTAATTCCTCTGATGTCAGAGAGGCCAGGCAGCAGAGTCAACAAACATGTCCCGAGCATTTGTGAAGACCAAGCCATGTGGCGCGATGGAGGTGGTGACGCCTTCCCCGTGGGGTTGTTGCAAGGAGGAGACCAGAAGAGGTGTGTGTGAACGTAAGGCCTTGTCATCGAGAAAGAAACCCTCCGTTTTATTCTGTCTTTCCTCCGACGGAAGGTGACGCCTATAAAACATCTGTTCTGGTGCCCGGCACACGGTGAGGCTGCTATGGACTGGTAGCCACTGCTGCCAGGGTATTATTCTTCGCTCCCTGCAGGCCCCGCACCTCGCTGGGACCCGCCCTCGATGTCCTTTGATTTTCCACTTCAACTAGTTATTAGATCCCTTTTCCTTTTAAGTGTTTTTCAGAAATTGAAGCTGGAAAACTGAGAACATCTCGGGGGGGAAAACAAAACAAAACAAAAACCAGTGATTACCAGGCAGTGTAAACACAGGATTAATTTATTGGAGGAGGTTAAGGAACTTGGAGCCATCTGAGGTCTACTGTTGCTTTAAGGATTCTCTTGGTGGTCCCTTTTTTCTGAAGCAGCGATGCGTTTTCCTAGGAGCCGGTCCTTTAGGTAACGCTTCTTCCAGCTGGTCTAACTGCCTGTACTGTGCTGGGAAATGGTATCTCTCACACATAGCAGACAGAGGGTGACTCCTAGGAGGTAAAGTGCCAGCCACATAGAATTACATTCCTTCCTCCCTCCCAGCAAAAGGGAGCTTTTGCTGAGCTAGTTGATCATTGTCTAGATCTGTCAAAGGAGAGGTTGTGTGAAACTCAGACTGTGCCATAGACGGAGGGCAGGGGCTGCATTTTACCCCAGTGCTGCTCCAACCTCGCCGAGCACGCAGGCCGCCTGGGGATCCTGTTGAAATGCAGACTGACTCTACAGGCCTGGGGGAGAGCCTGAGACGGTGAGGCTCTTACCAACTCTTAGGTGACGCCCCTGCAGGTGGTCCGGGGGCCACAGTGTGAGTACCAAGGCTCCATAGTTTACAGGTGTCACATCTCCTGATGGGCTGGAGGCCAACACCCCAGTGTCAGAGAATTAGTTGCCTGCTAGTCCTGGGGATGTAAAGTACAGCATAGGGAGTATAGTCAGGAGTATTGTAATAACTATGAGCGGTGGGTACTAGACTTAGTGGAGTGATCACTTTGTAAGTTACATATATGTCTAATCACTGTGTTGTACATCTGAAACTAATATAGTGTATGTCAACGGGCACTTTAGAAAATGAGGGGAAAAAAAGAGTGTGTTGTCTAAGGTGGCGAGATAAGTCTGGGTAAACTTTGCTGCTTCCCTGGGACGAGTCCAGGTTCGTTCTGCACGTCTTCTCATCAGGCTGCATTCCAGACCCAGACTGCCCACTCCCGCCTGTTTTGTTACACTGAGAAGTTGTCCGTCCACCACTAGAGGAACTAGGAATGGTGAACATAAGCAGTCGGTCACTACAAATAAAGGGGTTATTCTCTGTTGTTTGGCATGAAAAGACACCCACAAATTGTTGAGTCAGAAACGTGCAAGTGGCCGAATATGTTTTCTTCTACTATTTGAAGCCTTAAAAAAAAAATTTAGCATGCATTTCCATAAATAATTAAAAAAATCAATAAAGCTATTTTTGTTTTGAAAGAAGGCCTAAAAGCAAACAATAAAAGTTGAGTTGCCACTGAGCCAAATGTGCCTAAGAACAATAAAGAGCCAGAAACATGTGTCCAGGGAGCATTTGCTATCTTGCTCCCCAGTGTATGTCATCAGTTTGGCTCAAATAAGCTCATAAAAATTCTTAAAAACAAAACAAAACACGCGACCAGTCCTGCCCCGTTGGGATTTACCTCATATTTCATGTGTAGTCAGATACCCAACTCACACACTGAGAGAGATCGATCAGGGCCTTTTAGATCACAAAGGGTCCTGCAGCTGTAAGAGTAGATGTTGATGGGCATGGGAGGAAATAATGGCAGGAAAGGTGCTCTACACATTATTGCCCGCCCACTCTCTCCATGGCAGGCCCCGGGGCGGGGGGCTTTCACAGATATTCTGCTCGTATCCTCCCCAAGTGTAGGATGGCAGAACTCCCACTTTATAGATGAGGAAACTGAGGCCCAAAGAAGGTGATTTCCCTGGGGTTGCACAGCGACCGTGTTAGGATTTGAACCCTGGGTTCTCTGACTCCGAATCCAGTGCTTTCTGAAAAGCCCTTCGGCCTTCCTGGATTCCCCCGGCAATCCCCAACTCCTCCTCTCTTCTGTTTTGCAGACGACTGAACCGGAACCAGCTGCACACGTTACCAGAACTGCTGTTCCAGCATAACCAGGCTCTGTCCAGGCTGTGAGTGATGCTCCGAGGCCAGAAAGCTCCCTCTGGGCTCTTATCCCTCACCCTGCGGGAGGGAGAGGGTTTGGTCCGTGGGGTCGGGGCTTTCCCGTGACCCCCATGTTCCTCACGGGGAGGAACTGTTCAGGGTCTCAAAGGTCAGGCCTTTGCTGTCGGAAGGTGCTGTGTGGGCCATTTCTCCATGGCAGGCACCTGACCGAATCTGAAGTTCACCGCGTCCCATGTGCTGCCTCTGCCAGTGCGGGGCTCTGGGGTGCGCCCGGCGTTGCAGGGTGGACATTCATACCCATCCCTCACTGCCTTTGGTAACCTGTCGTGGGTCAAATTTTCATTCATTCAGCTAAGTCCTTCTTGGGCACATTTCTAATTTCAGCTCCGAGTAATAGGGTCTGTTAACTTAGACCTTGTTAATGTGTGTAATGTCATACTTTTATTTGTTGTACATGTACTTCTTTCACGTTTTAAGGGTCGTGGCTAATTCTGCTGCTTTATGATTTGCCAAGCGTGTCTGTGATTGTTCTACCGTACATTTCATTCCGTGGGATCTTGGGTTAAACAGGACCTTCCTTGGAGGTTACGTAAGAAATCTCTTTCAGCTCCTTAGCACAGGGTCCGTTAGTCTTTGCTTGCCTGCCTCTAGTGATGGGGAGTGCACCACCTCCCGGGGCAATCAGCTCCATTATTGAAAAGTCTGCATGTTAGAAACACTTTTTAAATTTTGAGCCCTGAATTTGCTTTCTGGTAATTTATGGCTCCCCCTCACCCCCGACCCCAGCTTTGCTTTCTGTAAGTATCTAGAACAATCATAAACTCTTGTTAGATTTTTGAAGGGTCCTCATTGGGTTTTTGAATTTTGAGTTGGGAGGTTTTTGAGCGCCCTTAGCTGTTGTCATTAAAAACCTGAAACACCATTGCACCGCGTGAGATGCTGGGCAGCTGGTCCCTCCTGACGCTTGCCGGGCAGCACCTAGCGGAGGAAGAAGCAATAGTGATGCAGGTGAGACTGAGGGGTAGGGGCTCGGTGGGAGGTGGCACCTGGGGCTACCTGCGTGCTGAGGGGCCCGTTCTTCCCACCTCTGTCATGATTTCCAGGCCTCTTGATGAGCCCAGTGGTCTACAGAATGTGTCACCCGATTCTGCCTTCAAGTTCTTGTCTGTAAGATGGAACTCTAATTTTTAGTCTGGTCACTTTCTGTTTCTTTGTCCTCCTGGCCGGGAGGCCTCTCACAGTGACCCTCAGCGGTGACCCCCTTGGCTGTCTTTGTCACCCTTGGGCGAGAGCTGGGCTGTCTGTGACGTGGTGCCAGGCACACACAGGGGGTGCGCTTTTCTTTTCTTAGTTAACTGCTGAAGGCACAGAACCCTTCCTGGCAGATGCATCCCCCTACATCTCTGTAACGTGCGGTCCATGGGCTGGCGCACAAGGTCCATGCTGTTGCTGCTCATGGGCAGGCGGCTGGCCTGGGCCCCAGCAGCGCCAGTGCCTCCCGTCCCTCCTTCCACTGGCTGTTGCAGCGTTTTCACAGCTCTTCTCTCTGCACGATTCATCCTGAATGCCTCTTCTCTTGGTCTCCTTCTGCACTTTCCCTCCTCCTAAGCCTCTCAGCCTTTCCAGCTGCTGCCCTCGCTCTCTGGGCAGATGTGCCCGCTTGGGCTCCTTTCCCTCAGCCACCACCCAGGGTCAGAGCCTGTGTGGAGTGGAACGTTGCCAAACTCTGGGCCCCTGCTTTGATAGTCTTCATTTACATTATTTAAAATTTGTTTATTTAAAAATTGTAGCTTTACTGAGGTATCGTTGGCAAATAAAATTGTAAGCTATTTGAAGCATACTTTGTGGTGATTTGATATACTAGTATGTATACATTGTGAAAGAATCCCCCATCGAGTTAATTAGCACATCCATCACCTCACATGTTTATCTTCTTTTTGTGTGTAAAAACATTTACGTTCTCTGTTAGCAGACTTCAGTTATACAATACAGTGTTCTCCCTTTTATACATCAGAGCCTCACACCTTACTCATCTCATAGCTGAAAGTTTGTACCCTTTGACCAACCTCTCCCTTTTCCCCCACCCCCGAGCCCTTAAGATTCCATATGTAAGTGATACCACCCAGTATTTGTCTTTCTCTGTTTGGCTTATTTTACTTAGCCTAATGCCCTCAAGGTTCATCCATGTTGTCACAAATGGCAAGATGAATAATATTCCATTGTACAGTGTATATATATTTCACCTATCTATCTATCTATCTATCTATCTATCTATCTATCTACCTTGTTCATCTTTGCCCCACCCCTCCACCCCCCTTTTATCGACCTGAGCATCAGGCATTTCAGAACATCTCTGTTCCCTCTCCCAGTGGTCTGGCTGAGGAGCACTCAGACACTCTAGGTTCCAGAAACAGACAGTAAGGGTGGGGTGTTAGTGTAAGGGTGCAATCAGCAGACTCACTGGCTCCCTAGGACACAAAGCGAGGTTCAGCTGGGACTGGGCGTGAGTGTGAGAGATATTCCCAGTCCTTTCTTAATGTCTACCTTATTCTACTCATCCCTGCAGACCAGTGTCCTGGGCTGACGGCAGCATTTCAGCTCTACCTGCCTTTGGTTGGCTACAGTGCCGACTCCCCTCCTGCGTTCTGTGACCTTGGAGCTCAGACCCTCCAATGTCTCAGGTCCAACCGCAGGTTTCTGGGGGAAAGAATCCGCTTGGCTCACCTTAGGTCAAGAGATCGCGCCGGGGCCAATGAGCTGTGTAGGGGCTTGTGGGGTCACCTGCAGTCATATATGGAGCCCGCCCTTCCCTTAGGAGGCAGGGAAAGGGGAAGGCAGTGCCTCCTGTCTGGTCTGTCACCTGTTGACCTTCCCTCTGCTCTGAGAGACCCATTACTAATCCTTTCCATCTGGAGCGAATCATGGGCTTTCCTGCAGAGGCCGTTATGCTAAATCAGCATGAAACCGAGTCTGAGAGACCAAATGTTCAGGGGAAGGTGTGGTCACAGATGTCAGGTGGTGGGGTCCACATTTCGGTTGCTTTTGTCTGTGAGGCTTCCAGGAGTTAAAATCCTGTAACTGGTTATTCTTCACCAACATTACCCCTGGTGTTGGGTTAATCTGTCTATTTCTTTCCTTGTGCAGAACCTGTGGCCCAGAGAGGTGATTTGTGTTGGACCCCAGAGCAGTTTGATGATAGGGTTGGAATTCAAGACCAGGCCTTCAAAGGTCCTTAGAGAGCCTGAAAGTGGGCTTAACTCGTGCCCTAGAAATCTCACGTTTGGGAATCTGTCGTGAGAAATGATAAAACATGGGCACAAACATGTTCCTTGCAGCATTATGTAGAATATTGAGATGTAGACTGTTTCTATATTGAAATATCAAATATGGTAAAGAATATAGAACAATTTGAATGTCTAACTTTGGGGGAATGGTTAAGTGAATTATGCTGTATCTACTTGATGGAAGCTTTATAGCATCATCAAAAATGGCCTTAATGAAAGACATAAGTAATGCAGATAAGTGTTTGTGATATCAAAAGCCAGGATGCAAAATTGTATTAACAATATGACCACAAAATAAATCACTCTAAAGAATGCACATAAAAATGATTGTAAATACCCACAGGGTTGTCGCTGGGTGACTTTTTCTTTTCTGTGCTTCCCAGATGTTCTATAAGCAGCATGCATTATTTTTATGGCAGGAGACCTCCCAGTTTTTATAAGCAACGAGAAGCCTCTGTAGCTTGAGTTCAAGTGAATGCCAGATGGGTAGTGTTGGAACGCTTCCCTGAACCCCATTGAGCCCCATTTGCTCTTTTATCAGATAAAGATAACATCTACCTCTCAGGCTCTTGTGGGATTCAAGAGAGGTATAACCTGCTTTCATGTCAGGTGTGAACACAGTAGATGCTCAGAAATGTGAGATGAATCTATATGGGAATTGCTTCAGAGGGTGGCAAACCAGACTGGAAGAGGCGCCCAAGGTGATCCCACACCCTCCCTCTGGGCATTGGTCTACTGTCAGGTCCTGCCTCCACTTCCTGTGTGATTCAGCCTCACTTCTCTTAACTCGAGCCATCCTCTCGCTTTGCAGGAACCTCCCCCAACAGGCTTTTTTAAAATGAGAGGCTTAGGTTTACCTGTGGAGGCACCTGCTGGCTGGTGTGCGGGCGGCAGCTGGAGCGTGGCTTGGGACAGCCATTGCACAGGCTCAGGAAGTTGACAAAGGGAATCTGCCAAGCTCAGAGGGTTCGACATGCCCAAGGGGCTGAGGCAAATGTAAGCTCTGGTCTGTCTGACGCTAAAGCTCGTCCTTCCATAGTATCCATCCACCCCCTACTCACCAGCCATCCACCTCCTGCACCCACTACCTACTCACCTACCCATCTACCTACCTATCATCTACCCACCCCGACCCCGACTCCCACTCACCTGTACTCCCACTTACCCATCTACCAGCCACCAGTCAATCCACCTATCCCTCTGTCCTCCCTGCTCTCCCACCTCTCCTCCCATCTAACAATCCCCACTTATTCATCTGCCTACTTACCCATTCTTCCTCTCATTTACCCACCAACCACCCATTTACCCTTTCAGCCCCACACCCATTTGCCCTTTCCTTTCCCACCGACCAACCCACATATAAACCTGCCCATATACCCAACTCTCAGCCCACTCCACGCCTTCCCTCCTCCCCTCTCCCCTACCCACCTCTGTTCATCTACCCACCACTTGCTCACCCATTCATACAACAGTTCCTGGGGGCGTCCTATGGACCAGGCACTATTCTAGGTGCTGAATACTATTGGGGTGACGGCTTGTGAGAGAGACTCGTGGGGCACTGCCTCTCCTGAGGTGAGGGTTTGGGAGCTCTTTGAGGAGTGCTCTTTGAGAGCTACCTGCCATCCTCTGACTACCAGCAGGTTGGAGTGGGCTGAGAGGCAGATGTTTCCCTGGCTGGACCTGGCTCCCCTGCGGGGGTGGTTATACCCTGGTGGTCCATT